GGGGCGCGGCCGGCCGGTAAAAGCGTTAGCAGAAGTACATTTTTCTTTCCTTTGATGTGATTTAACTCGGGCGCTCCTCTTAGAAGGCAAAAGCGGTGTAATTCCCAGAAGTGCCGTTTCCGCCGGCAGCCCCGCCGGTCCCCGTTCTGCCCGCGGGGAATCCACCGCACGGAACCGGCTCTGAGCTGCGGAGCCCTTCCTCAGTCTCGGGTTCTGCTCTTTAAAGATCATTCCCGGTGTGTGTGGATTCGAAGAGAACTGTAAGACGAATTTAGGCTAAACTCTCGGAACCGGGGGTTCGAAGTGCCGGATCAGCAGTGAGCCGTCCTGGTCATTTTAGTCTACACGTTTTCTACTTTTGGTTCTTCTTTTTTTTTCCCCAACATGCCCAACTATAGCAGTTTCCATAGTTTCTGTCAGTTCTAAATTAGAAAATACCTGAAGTTACCTTGCTGCTTGCAGACCATGATTTGCAGTTTATCTAATTATGTGAAAGTACTGTATTCCTTATAGCCCAAATGACATATTATTATGCCCTTTGCTGAATTCTGTCCTCTCCATGTGGAATGATGTTGGAATGCAGAAGCCTCAGCTTAAGTCATAAATAAAGATTGATCAGTTTCAACTTATTTAAAGAGAAGCCATCTGCTCATTTTGGGAGGCTCTTTTCGTATTTATGAGCAGAGATTTATCCAGATGTGCCCTGTTCTGCTCCAGAAATGCAGATATAATTTGTATGTTGTTGCATAAAATGACATTAATGGTAAGTGTCCCAAACTACATTAAGGAATTTGTGGAACGAGGATGATATTAAAATATTATTAAAATTACTCATTTAAAAAGAATAAAAAAGAATGTCGTGGTCCTTTAAATCCACCAATCTGAAGTTGAATTCCTTCTTCAGTAATCATACAACGATGCAGGAAATACTGTGTTAGATAAGCAATACTATGTGTATTATGCCCTTTAAGATAAAAAAAAAAAAAAGGGACAAAGTGTCCTTACTAAAGAATTGGTAATCTAAGGGCCTGGGCATGGATATGAGTTTCTGCTTACCCAAGGCTTTCCACTGTTGTAGTCCCAGCAAGAAGAGATAACGTTAACACAATGGTGCCTTAATTGGATGGCAAAGAAGCATATGGGAATGGTTTACCGTTCAGTTTAGATAACACAAAGTGGGAACTATTGGGTTTTATCTTTTGGCCCTTCATGGACCAAAGTTGCTATCCTTAATTATTGGAACTCCTAAATGTCTTCCAGTCTACCCTTACATTTGAACCTCCTCCTTAACATAGTGTACAGGACTCGCTCCTCATCTTCCAAATTCTTGTGAAAACCCACTTTGTCTGAGACGCCTACGCTTTTCACCATACACATACTTTTTGCGGTTGCCTCTGACAGTCATGTTGTATGTTGAAGAGTAGGTACTACGAGTTACGTTCCTATAGGTCTGCCATTTTGTTTAGGCACTTTGAAAAAAAAAAAAAATCAATTAAAAGCATCAATAAAAAAGATGGAAGTTACTCCCTAACTTTTTTCTTTTCAAATTTTGATGGAAAATCAATTGATGAACTTTCTCTTTGCTTAGCTATATGCTGATTATCTCATTTTAATCTACAGTTACAGCCAATGTTTTAAACAAGAAAGAATAAGACAAGATGTACTTCAATTTTTAAAAGAGCCAGTTTTAAAATAGGGAGTAGTCCTTTACTTGTACAATTGCAGCAAAGGTAAACTAAGCAGTTGCATATACATGATATAATTACTATCACCTGTCTTTTGGGCATGAGTTACTCTTTGAGCATAACAGTTTTGCAAATTATGCCTGTAGATTAAACGTGACCCTAATTTATTTAGAAGACCAGACCAGAAGTTGTTACTGCTTTTCTTGATAGTAAATGAAATCATTTCAATTGCATCTTTTTTTTTTTTTTTCAAGAGACAGAAATGATAAATGATCAAAGCATATAACTTTTGCCAGTAATCACGTAGACCTGCTTTTAGTCCCAATAGAGATTTCTTTCATAGTTTTAGGGAAGTCGCTTATGCCTTTTACACCTTACTCTCCTCAAGTATATTGGTATTAGTAGGTTTGCTGTGATTTTAGTATTCTCTATATGTGTTACATACTTCGTTATCTGCTATAAAGAAAAACTTAAGAGCTAACAGACGGGGAAGCTATTGCCATTTTAAAATGTTCTGCCTTTGCATTGGATTTATAGTTCACTACTCTTATTTAATAAAAAAAAAAAGTTCACTGTTTCCTTAGATCTGTGAGTTAACTCCATTTTCATCAACGTGTCCAGATTTTTTTCTCCCATGGAGGAGATATTTTTGCTCTCCCATCTGCTGATTCATACGTGCTTATGAGATACAGGATTCTCTGCCAAAGTTTTAAGAGTTTCTTGGAACGCCAGTCATGCGACAGTATTACTTAACAATGAGCTGGAAAGCAAACACTTCCTCCTTTGAGAATTCCGGGAAAAAGGAGGAAAAGAAGAAGGATTTTCTTTACGCTGGAGCAGCTTGCTCTTTTTTTTTCCTGAGCAGCAGCAAAGGCACTTGTGTTCTTTTCAAAAAATTCATTACTGTGCTCAGTCACATTTTGTCTGTTCCCAAAATGTGAAAAGCTCAGCTCTTGAGTAATAGTTTTCTTGAGCATGTGTGAGAAAATCATCTTTCAAGTGTGTCCTTTATTACTAGATGAGCAGTAACTGCCTCAGAGAAGGTCACAAAGGAGTTTCCAGTCTAATCTTCCATTTTTGCTAACAATGTTCATATCCCTTACCCTCCAAGATTGAAATTTCCCATGTTTAATCTTCAGAAGTTTGTTTTAAAGAGTGGTCAATCATGCATGTGAGAATGGAAAAAATACAGTATCATTAAACGTGACTTCTCTGACAAGCGCAGAAACTTAGATTACGGGGTAATTCCTTCGGAGCAGAATCTGACATACTGAAGTAAAGATTGATCATAAGTGAAGTGCTAATACTTCTAAATATATTGAAAAAAAAAAGATTCTGTTGCTATATTTCTCAATGGTTTTATTTATGTGGATGTATTTATCATTAAAAGGTGTCATCTTTATAAAAAAAGTGATTTTTCTGCCCCTTACTCAACTGAGAAACAGTCTGGCTGTTGCCTACCTTGGGTTTATTCTATTTGAATTTTTGACAACAAATATTCAGCAGCTGTGCTTGAGAATCTGCCAGGTTTTAGAGAGGAGTTATTTGAGGGGGTATGGCTTTGGTAGCATGCCTTTGAGGCTGCACATCCTTACATGTACATAGCACCCACACGCACGCTTCCAAAAGGTCATTAAATTTTTCCTAAGCTAATCACTTAATAAGTTTATACCGCAGCAGAGTTGCTGATCCCTCGCCAGTTCCATTTCTCTTGTGTGCTGGTGAAACTCAAATCTGTTAGGGGCGTCGAAGGTTGTTCTACTGCTGTAGTTGGAGGAGAAGATATTGAACCACCACCAACAAATACGTTTGAATGGTCTCTTCTACTTCAGAATCTAACAAAACTTCTGCAGAAAGCCCAAGAGCACTCTCCTGCTAGAGGAGATCTAAGAATTTCTCTCCTCCTTACAGAATCACACAGAGATAATCACGAGGTTTTGAAATGGAAAATAACGTGCCACCTGGGAACTTTGCAGATATAAGCAGAGCAACTGTAGCACACAGGTAGATTCAAAAATAACCGAGAGCGTGAGAGGAAGGGGCAAAAGGGTTGTGTATTAAGAGACAATGTGCTGGAATGCAAAGTCATGGTTATTCCATATTAGTTAGCATGACTTTACCTACAAGTTTACCAGAATTTTAAATGCGTCATGTACGTGTCTAGTGATATGACAGCTGGTAGCCATATCTGATCCAGAATATGATCTTCCACAAAGTGGCTGCATTGCATCAGCAAAAGAATCTTGGGGAAATAAGTTTTTTTGAAAGTCTTAAATTAATTATTTCATCTGTTTTCAGTTTACTTAAGCAGCTTTGCTATGCTTAAAGAATTCTAATATGTAGAAGCTGCATAATTTTCCTTCTGTGAAGTTGTGCTGGTTATATCATGGTTAGGTATGTGTTTGACAACTTCTTTCTAATTATTTACTGTTTTAATGGATTTAAGCACTCTGTCGAAGCAAGGCTCAGGTCTTTGCTAAAATATTTTTCAAGAGGATTTTATTATCTAGTGTGCTGGTGATAGGACTTGGGGAAAACATTTTAGTCAATAGATCAGACACTACGTTCTTAAATTCTTTCAGTTATCTGAGTGGAATTATAAGGCTTTGGTGACATGTTGATTGTCAGTGATTTTGGTGTAGTGCTTACCCTTTTAGTATCTCACATACTAGCAGCTTTGCTTTTCTAGTAGCTAAAAGAGTAGGTCCACTGCCAATGTCAGTCTGTAATCCTCTGTAATTAAAACTTTGCAAAAAAGTCTTCTAGCTCATTTGTATTATCCTTATTCTTCTACACTTCTTGTCATTCCATGAGCTAACTTCAGGGGCATCAGGCACTGCAAGGGATCTGAATCCTAACATCTAGCAGAGTGGTAGGTGGAACTACGCTCTTACCTTAACTGGGACACTGATGTCAGCTTATAATAATGTGTTCTGTTGGCAGAATTTCAGCACAGCTTGTCCCATTGAACCTGGCTAGTGTCAACGATGGCAAGACTACCAAGTGCTGCGCTGTTTAGCCTGTGGATCCTTTTCGTTTCATATACAACAAATGAAGGTACATTTATCAATGTTTTAAATTATTATACTGAAGTTTTTATCAACAGCATTTTCGCATGACTAGTCGGTGACACTATTACCATTAACTAACTAATGTAAAATGTGTAACTTCAAATGTCAGAAATATCCATTTGCTTGAATAAATTCTTAGATTTTTTTTCTTTTTATTGACCTTTTCAACATGGGCAAGAAAAAATAGGAATTTGCAGGAAGGAGAAACTGAGGTTTGGAAAGTCTTCTCCCTGCTTCCCCATTATGTAATCTCTATCGGACACCTTTCTGCAAACGAGGTGCTCAGTAATCACAGAATCACAGAATGGTGGGGGTTGGAAGGGACCTCTGGGGATCATCTAGTCCAACACCCCTGCCAGAGCAGGGTCACCTACAGCAGGTTGGACAGGAACGCATCCAGGCAGGTTGTGAGTATCTCTAGAGAAGGAGACTCCACAACCTCTCTGGGCAGCCTGTGCCAGTGCTCTGCCACTCTCAAAGTAAAGAAGTTTTTCCTCATGTTCAGACAGAATTTCCTGTGTTCCAGTTTGTGCCTCTTGCCCCTTGTCCTGTTGCTGGGCACCACTGAGAAGAGCCTGGCCCCGTCCTCTTGACACCCACCCTTTAGATATTGATAAGCACTGATGAGATCCCCTCTCAGTCTTCTCTTCTCCAGGCTAAACAGACCAGGTCTCTCAGCCTTTCCGCATAAGAGAGGTGCTCCAATCCCTTCATCATCTTTGTAGCCCTCCGCTGGACTCTCTCCGGCAGTTCCTTGTCTTTCTTGAACTGGGGACCCCAGAACAATAACCCAGGAACATCTCTGTAGAAGTCCCATATGAGCAGAAAGCACTAGTCTCTCGTTTGCTTATTTTCATAACCGCCACTGTTGGCCATGCGGGACCTTGCAGGAGCTGTTCTCATGAAATGGAGCCTGTAGATCTGCTGTTAAAGGGCATCTGTCAATTTGTGTGCTCCGAAGTGTGCAGAGTTACTAATTTGGAAAATGTAGTTGACTTCATGTGAACAAATTTTGCAGGCATTTTCTGTCAGACATTATTTGCTCTGACTTGTGCCTGTACAGGGGCAGGTGTCCTATGTGTTCTGCACTACTCCGTTCTTTTAGTCCGGCGGGACGTGTAGCTGCGTTGAGTCTTAATGCTGCTTGTTAGCTAATAGTTATATTCTGAAGTTCAACTGGCAGGGGCTGAATATGAAAATGTTTTTTTCCTTGTATCTTTTATGATATTTTATTATAAAGACAAGTTAGATGTCTAAAGTCTTGCTTTCCGATAATGCATTTTTATTCTCTGGAAAGTGAAGCTTACATTTTGCTTTCTGTAGTTTTTAAGTAGTTCCACGGTATTGTACATTTATTTTTTTTTTTAAAGCAAACCAAAATAGTTAAAAGAAAATTTAAAATAGCCTGTCTCTAAAACAGAAGGTTTATTAGCTACTTTCTTATGTACTATGAATTTGAATTGATGAGAAGGATCAAGGTTTGCAGAACACATTGGCTGGGTCATCTGACCTGAGTAATCCCACATTTTCTGTAAATGATCTTTATCAACATTTAATTTTACAGATTTTTTTTCCCCCTATAGTTAACTACATGTTTTAAGTTTCTTCAGCATGGTGTTCTAGTTGAGGATCAAAAAAGAAATCCAGTATTTCAGTTCCCTTTTTTAACTACATGAACTGAAAACAAACCCTGTACTGTATGCGGTTTCAAAAGGAAATTCTTAAATATCTGAGGTTTAAAAAAAATAGGTTGTACCAGAGATGGAAAAGGGAGAAGATCACAGGAAAAGAATACAGAAGACAATTTAGAGTTCTCGAAAGACACAAGGACACTGACAGGCAAGATAAAGTAAAGCTGCTAATCATCATAGCTTAACACAGAAGGAAGAGCTTTGTTTAACTGGAGTATTCTTGAAAGTGTAAGACCATTAACACATTGAAAAATAATGATGTTCATCTTTAAAGGGCTTAAAACTTTAGTACTTCTTTTAAAAGTGCATCTTAAAGTGGAAAAAGAAAAGAAACTAACAATAAAAATGCAAATTGCAAACTAATATAAACAACAGCAACAGGATAAATAGATAATGTTTCTTTTAAAATAAATGAGCAGTGTGACTGTTACAGTATTGCAGAAGTTTAATCTTTAACTTGCTGCTCTTCTGATGATTCTTGGGTGGTTGGTTGTTGGTTTTGTTTTTTTTTTTTCAAGAATCAGGGATCATGCAGAACAAAACAGAGCTAAATGCGGTGCTGCCATCCAGAAGGGATACGAGTGGTAGTTCTTATCTACAGGATAAATATCTAGCCTTAGTAACTAAAGCAAAATATTTTCTAAATATTTGTACAGTAATGACACCGTGAGCTGCAGTCAGTTCTAGGTTTATAACCAGTCAATATACGAGACAATTTCGATTATGATTTTGATAGAATTTTTAAATGTTTCCTTGACATTGTCATAATTCCTCGTTTGTGTAAGTGAGCCTCACTAAGGTTATTGAGCTTACTCAAGTGATTCAGGACTGCTTGATAGTCAAGTTTTGTGGGAGGCCTTTTAGAAAGGCAAGTGAAGGTGATGTGCAGATTTTAATGAGGGTGAAAGACCATACATACACTGACAGTACTAAACAATTAAGTGTTTCTTTGAATCAGGTTTTTATTGAAATATGAGAGGGTCTGGTGGTAGACCCCGTTGTATGTAGTGCATCATGTTCACTAAAATGCATCTGACCATCATGTTTGTTACGTTTGGGGATACTGTGCTTTATCAGATTATGAAGAAGTTGTATCAGAATAAATAACACAAGCAGACTACAGAAAAGTAGAAATGAAGGAAGGATAAAATGAAATTATGTATTTTTGAAAACAAAAGTTTTTGCTTGGGAGGAATAATCTGAAACTTTGGTACTCTTGGAAAGAATAAGCCTGTGAAGTTGCAGTGGCTGAAGGACAAAGTCCTTACAGGATGTGAATTGTTGGCAACTTAAATCTTGAATTTGCAATGTAAATGACAAGAATGGAGACTTAGTAATGTGCTGGGCCGTGTAAACAAAATTATTTACATACTATAGAGAAATGAAAATCATGTCTTTATATGGCCCTTGTATAATCCTTCTCGCAGAATCCCTTAGGAAACTATCAGAAAAATATCAATTAATAGGATTCTAAAAACCAGCCAAAGCTATTCCAGATTTTTACGGGGAATTGAGATGTAGAGCGGGAGAGAAGGATTTCTGTACAACTTGTGCAAGAAAAAGGAGATATTGTTAATATTTACCAATAACAGAGGAGTCAAACATCAAAGGCAGCAAAGAATTGTCTGGCATGATAAAAGTATTAGTTATTTCTGACTGCTTCATGTAGAAATGATCACTTTCCAGTATCGCATTTGGCACACTTAGTTCTAATAACAGTATGACCTTACCGTCACGTAGCTCCTCCTCTGCTGTTCCTTGTTTCACTCATGTGGAGTGCATTGAAATAATGGAAAATGAGCCTGGAAGGGATACTGAGGATTGTGTATTCCATGTCCCTTTCCAGTTCTAACAAAGATATTTTGACCAATGTTTTCTATTTTTTTCTTAAATGCTGCCAGTGAAAGAGACTGTAAATGCAAACGTTGGCAGTGCAGAGACTTTGGGCTTTTCTGTGCCCTCTCAGTGCTTGGAACAATGTGACTAAATCTCTCCACGTCTTTGAACACTATCATAACAATGAAAAGTAGAAGACAGAAGAGGAAATACTGAGTGAAATTGAGAAAAGGTATACACTAGAAGAAAGCCTGTGACAGGAGGATCTTCTAGGCAATGGAGAACTGCTCTGGGGAGGCAGAGGGCATGCATTTGGGAAGCTTAGACCATTGTAGATAAAGCACAAGTACACGTCTGTAGGCAGTGATCTTGGTGTGACTGTTAATTATCTGCGTTTTGGCTTTTGAACCTTTTGTATTTGGCACATAGGATGATGCTGGTTTATAATTAAATGTTGATGTGTTTCAAATAGAGCTATCAGAATCAGAATCTCTGAGCTTGGAAGACTGTGTTGGATGAGATGTGCCTTTCTATTTCAATATTACTACTGCAGACCTTCTTCCTCTCCAAGACCATAGACGTTGTCTCCAAAAAGGTGGAGATGTTTGGTGATATGCATCTCTTTCCATTTACCCAGAACACAAAAGATAACAATGCTTTCACTTAATTTATAGGAGGTTGGTAGTTCTGTTTAGATGAAAGAGTTAATGTTTCTGCTTAGTCCAATTTAGCTTCTTATTGTGTGCTGCTTCTCCCTAGTTATGGCTGCAGGACATGTACAGGAATTTGCATGCTTCACTGACTATGACAAAGAGCTGGTTTGTCACTGGAAGGTGCCTGCACAAACAAATTGCTCCAAAGAATTCCAGCTGTACTACAAGAACGCATTACTTCCTGAGCCGTAAGTGTTTAATAAGTTGTTACATTATCATTGTTGGAACTTCATATATCCTATAGCCATTATCAGCTTTGATTTCCTCCCTCTACCATGGACGTCTGGGGCAAAATATAATCCAGATTATTATTCTTGCCAGGAGGAAAATGGGTTGCTGCAATTAACAGCACGCTTTGTTCAGTGGTCTACTCTTCTGTAGACTTCTCTGTACTTTTACTATGGAGGAGTGATCAAGTCCTACTCGTAGGAGTGGTAGGGCTCTCCTAAGTTTGCCCAATCTTCATTTCATGTGAAATTTTACCTCCTTCAGGAGAAATCTTACCTGATTTACCAGTCTGTGGCCTGTGTAAAAGGTACTCTCCCCTGGAACCCAGGTGATGATTTCCACATACAGTCTAACTCTGTGTGCAGAGATCTGCAGCAGGGCCAGTCATTATCTTCTACAAAGTAAGATGCGTCTGGGCTCTCCTGTTCTTCTCCATATGATTTCTCCACACAGACATGCAAATAACCTCACTTTGTACACTGCAGTAAACCTGTTCCTATACTAGCAAGATGTCAGTCTGCTCCTTCAGAGGCTGAAGTGTGACGAAGAATGATAATTTTTCCTCTTGGGATCAATCCTTAGCCTTTCTGTCAAGTTTTTCATACAGATATCCAAGAGGCGTTTGGGGAAGGTGGGTTGTTTGGGGGAGCTCAGTTTTGGTTTGGATTTGTTTGGGCTAAACGTTTCTAGGCACTGAGGTTGTTTGTCTCAGATTTGATTAGCTCTACACATTGGGAAGCTTGATTTCACCTTTTCAAGAAATAGTGTGCCACACTCTCTAAACATCACATAATTTTTCTGCCTGTTTTTCAGAAATCATGTGTGTCCTCCTGAGAATGGAAAAGACAGTTTAAGGTGCACTTGCACAATATATCCAAATTATTTTGTATCAGGCCTCACGTATATTCTAACTCTGCAGTTCAATGAGACTGATACGTGGAATACCAGTGTTACACCAGCCCTGGTTGGTAAGAAACTGTTTACTTTGTCACCAGGACATCTGGCTCCAGGCTTTGCAATCCTAGCTAACTCCTCATTCATGTCACTGGAACAGTGTTTCCTTATCAGAGGTGAAAGGTGCCATGGTGGCTTAAATGTGAAATCCATTTGGCTTAGAAACCCGATTCTTAAGGAAACCGTATAAGTAATGGGGCAAGCAGAGTGATTCTTCCTCTAGCTGTACCCTCTCAGCTGCCAGCCAACAGCAGTTTGGGGGTTTAGACATGTCTTTAGTGCATTTTACTTGTGGCTGTAGAATTCAAGGATGAAGAGGAATGTGCTGCTTACAGTTTCTAGAAAGACGCTAGGCTATACCTACTGGAAATTTCTTCCATTCCTGTCTCTGTCATACTCTTAATTTTTCGTGTTAGTTGAATCATCCCCCTCCACAGAGATTTTTACAGTAATTGCTGTTGGATTATAACAACCAGTGATAAAAGGTTAATGACTCTGCTCTTTCACAGGACAGAGCATAGATACAGTTTATGTCTCTCCATAGGCACTTAATTTGTTTAGAACAGTGTGCTTGTTCATACACTTGTCACTTCAAACACTCGGAGAAATTGTTCACATACCTTGGGCAGGCATTCCTCTGCAGCGCTGAGCTGGTTCTTTTCAGAATACTTGATTGTCGCTGCTGCTTATCAGCAGAATAAGCAGGAGCCTGCATCAGTTTCTAAGAGACAGGTAGTCAGGACAGTCTGCGAAGTTGTCAGAAGCTCTCTGTGTACCCCACGGCACGGCATCCTATTGTGAGGGCGCAGGTTGTTCCCGTTTTTCCAGGCTGAACACTGCATCCAGTGCACCAAAAGGTTGAACTTGCAGTTTGTTCAGTCAGCTTGAAGATTCGGTGCTTATTAATGAAAACCTTGCAGTTGCTCTGTTTTGGCCTCTATATCCTTGTGCTACAGCATAGTGAAAAGCGCTAAGTGCATTGGCTGCAATGTGATTCTGGTCTCTGGTGAATGTTTGGCTCTCTGCTTCTCTCCATCAGTGTTTTCCCATTGCCATGTTATCCTTAATTGTATTTTTTAACATACAGTTAAGCCAAGGGCCCCCAAAAATCTTGCCATTGAGAAAGTTGAAAGTGGTAATTTCAATCTGAGCTGGGAGGAGAGCTATTCTTCTCCATCCATGCTCTATGGACAGCCGGTCATCTATGAAGTGAAATACTGGAGGAAGCAGCACCCGACAGAGGTAAGAGACAGACAGTCTCTTCATTTTCTGTCTCTCTGGAGCTTTCAGGTTTAAAAGGTCTTCTGAAAAGTCTTTAAACCATTTCATGAAAAATGTTGTAAGGGCCAGCAAGGGCAAGTCCCACAACGTTCCTGATCACACACTTGCCACAGGACACATTGCACCAAGGTGGTTCAGCTGGCCTTTAAAGGATTGAAACTCCCTGAACTTCATTTGCTCCTTAGACATCAGGAAGCTGGAGGCTATTCATGACTCCGTGGCACACTTGAGGCATTTCAGACACCTTCCTGAACAATACAGCGCTTTAGGACCGGGCTTCTTCTGGTAGGGGAAGAAGATGCATGGTGACTTGTCACAAATACCACCCACTCATGACAAAATGCAGTCTCACACACAGCAGATTAAGTATCCAGTCAGTCATTTGCTCATTTGTGCAAGGTCACTGAAACACATAACACTATTGTTATTTAATTGCTGTCCTTCACCCCATAAAGAAATCAAAGTGAACTTTCTTACTTTTTTTTCAGGTTTCTGTAAAAGCAATTAACTACCAGGCAAAAAGCTTTGAAATTACTGCAAGCTCCTTGAGGAGAGGCTATGATTATGTTGCAAGTGTAAGGTGTAACTATACAGATTACCCGTCCTACTGGAGTGAATGGAGTGAAGAAGTTGAATTTCACTATGGTAAGTATTGTAGCAAATAGCGGCTTGATAAAAGGATGTTATAGTTTTATAAACCATATCACATATACCCCGCTGCTCTCCTCTCAGAGGAAAGTTATGGAATCATCATCTTCATCCTTTTGAATGTATTGTGGATACATCTGTAAAGGCTTCCAAAGAGACTAAACATAAAAAGGTAACTCCTGGGGAAACTAAGGCAGAGAAGACCAAGGGAAGTTGGTTTGTTTAGCCTTGTGAAAAAAAGGCTAAAAGAGGATGCGTTTATTCTCTATAAATATTTCATGAAGTAGACGCCAGGGAATGAGAAGAGATATTTAAACTCAAGAAAAACATTGACGTAAGAGCAAGTAGGTATAAATGAATAAGAGGTATTTAGGCTGCAAATTAAGCAATACTTTAACCATCAGAGGACTGGGGGTTTATAAAAATCTCTGAAGAACAACAGAGAGGAAAAGAAGCATAGCTGCACTACAGTGGAGATGATAATGCCGTCTTAGGAACTGTGTGACAGGTTCGTCCCCAAGAACTGGCAAATGGCCTGACAGTAGATGTTGGCTCCTCCAGCTCCTAACACTCGCAGTAACTGGCTGCGGTACCTCCGTTGATGTTTCAGACATGCCACACACCATCGCCACTGGTAGCTATGTATGTTCTGTTGTTTATCTGCTGGAGGCTTTATTTTACATCCTCTAAAGGAGTGGTTTTTAAGGCACAAAAGAAGAGCAATGAATTTCGTATTGCCAGTACTTGTGTTTATATACACATACACATGTAAATGTATATGTTTATTTAACAGATTACCAAGTAACAGCTGAAGACATTCTGCAGATGGCTGTTCCCGTATCCTGCATACTGATCATGGCAGTATCTGTAATTTGTTACTTCTGTTTTACCAAGTATGTATCGTATTGTTCACAGGTTTTATAGAGTAGCAGTTTGCACAGATGTCAGTATTGCTATCGATTAGCTGAACGTCTAGTAGTACAGGAATCTAATGTTTAGTTTTTCCTCAGCACCTTTATCTCACTCTCTATGAGCAAATGTTTTATAAGCATGAATCAGTTGGACTCTGTCATTTTCTGAATAGGTAACTGAATATTCTCTATTAATCTGACTAGAATGGGCTTGTTATAGTATCCAAAACAGCCTGCAGCTATGGGTTTATCAGTTTCGGACCCTGGTCTCAGCTGAAGATCCAGTAATGAGGGTTAAATATCCGTATTTCTTCTAAAGGCTTTTAGTGGTAATGTGAAAGTGGGATCCTATCTGGTTTGCACATCGTTTCAAACACGATTAGAGGAACATGTGACTGTGGTCGTGCAGAGCAGTCACGCACCAAGCATATAAACATCTTTGCACTAGTTTAATGAAAAGCAGCACTTGGACATGCACAGAACAAGTACTTCCTGTTGCTGCAATGCAGATGGCTAAGAGGGAGAAGGAAGTGTACGCTGATGAAGCCAAAATGCAGTCAAAGCAAACAGTTTTCATTTTTCCCTTGCAGAGTGAAGAAAGAATGGTGGGATCAAATCCCAAATCCAGCGAAGAGCCATTTGGTCGTCAAAAATGTCAAGGTAATTAAAAAGCTTTGCAAAAAATACCTTTTCCTGATTGCCAGAAGGAGACTATGTAATAAGTGCTATTGTCTGGCTAGTGCAGAGGATACTAAATACAAATCACATGGGTTCTAAATCTCGTTTGTATCTTTCTTAGTTTTCAGTTTTGTGCTACATTGATGAAATTAAGTTCCCCTTCCATGACTTAAAGCAGAGTCATTTGGAAAACCAAATGTAAGTAAGATAAAGAGGAAAAAAAAATCTCTGCTTTACAGCATAAAATAGTTTCATATTACATAAACATTAACTGTCCTTTCCTTTTGACTTCCAAAAACAGAAGTTGCAAGAACTGTCTGGCTCAAAGTTTGTCAAGCCAAAACTTCAAGGGAAAAGATAACATCAGAAATGTTGAGAAATCTTGCAATTGCCACAGCAAGTCTGGAGAGTGGTTTCCAAAAGGCAGCAGTGCAGTTTTAACCCCTGAGACAGTTCTGGTTGAAGAGTCTATAGAAATTTGTGAATGTTTAACAGACGTTGAGGCTGAGAGCCAGGAAGAGACTAGTGACCAAATCACCTTGTTCGAGCCTTGTGAGAGCAGTGTCAGTGCTTTCAGAGAGCACACTGAACACAATGATGCACTAGCTAGCATGTTTATTGAGCTCCTGGCAGATGAAAACAACATGCAGAACAATAAAGACCGAGACATAATTACAGGTGAGAATGAAACCTTTGAGAAACTTGAGTCAGAAAATCCATCGCAGCGAAATCCAAAAGAAAGTGCAACCCGGAGTCAGCAGCCGTGTGATATTTCTCATGCAGTCTCCCTTTTCACCAAAGCCTCTCAAGATGACTACAATTGCAGTACATCCAGCAAGAAGTCAGAAGAATCCTTTGAATCTGGTTATCAGAGCTCCAGCATAAATTCTGCTTCTCTGGATTCAAGTGATCTTCAGCATATGGTTCATGAAAGCCTTTTTTCATGCAGTTCTGAAAGTCAGCATGACTCATGTGTCCTGATCCAGGAATCTCCAAACAAACCATCCTTTGGGACCGAAAAAGACAGAATAAGCAACCCTGCATACAAGAGTTTTGATACCCTTGTGTCTCCATCCATGGGGCTGTGTAGCTCTGCATATAAGAGCTTCGACACTCTTATCTCTCCATCCGTGGAGCCCTGTGGTTCTGCCTACAAGAGCTTCGACACTCTTATCTCTCCATCCGTGGAGTCCTGTGGTTCTGCCTACAAGAGCTGTGACACCCTTCTGTCTCCATCCATGGAGCCCTGTGGTTCTGCCTACAAGAGCTTTGATATTCTTGTGTCTGCGTTCAAAGAACCAAGTAGCTCTGCATATAAGAGCTTTGATACCCTTATGTCTCAGTCTTTGGCTAACAGTGGCCTGACGCCGTGTTTTGAAAATGTGTGCTCCTTACCGCCTTTGACACAGTTTTCAGAGACACCAGAACTTAGCTGCAGAGATCAATTTGATCGACCCCCCAGCAATCAGACGTGTTGTACCAACTACGGATCTCCCTGCACTGAGCTTGGTTTTCAGAACACCTGTTCAGAACATGCTGATTTTCCATCTTCCTCTACACATGCAAATGACAGCGATTCAGCCTTCCTACCAGAGGAAAAAATACATAAGCAAGTAACATATCAAAATGTTCAAAAGAAAGTCAACATAATTTCTTGCCCCATTGGACCTCCACCATCTGGTTATCGACCTTTTGATAATGCAGTTAAATGTAGCGGTACATACTGTGGCAGTGACAGTGAGGTTATCTCTAGGTCACTGTATAAACCCTTCATTCATCTTTTGTACAAAAACCTGAGAGAAACACCTGCAGATACCATAACCTGTGAACCTGACCAGAGGACAGACGATCACCTATGTTTGACTGTACAGGGTTTTGACTGCAGCATTGTCCCGGGTTTAGCCTCTAGCGAGGATGTCACACAGACCAGTGATGGCGGCCTTTGGATCATCAGCTCTAATGAGCTGTCTAGCGATAGCAAAGATGAAGATAGCAGCAGAGACGAACAGCTGTTGCATTTGTTAGAGCTGAACTGTCAAGATTTTAAAAGCAGGGAAAGAACTATAAAGGGGACAAAACCTAACAACTTTAACTGTACTGGTAAAGGAATGCAAGAGAGCAGCAGTAACAGACTGAATGCTGACATTCACTGCCACACGCATAGCCACTTGAGGAAACTTGGAAATGCAGGGGAAAATAGAGAGGTGACAAAGCACGCAGTAGGCAGGAGGTGTGGCTCGGCAGGTAGCTTACCAGAAGAATCACTGGACAGCATCGCGCTAAACTTAGAAGGAAAAACTGCAGAGCCCCTGGAGTTCCTGGTCTCGGACAAGTTGTCACCTGCTCTTTTTGTGGATAACTCCTGTCCTGATTCTCACACCATTCACAGTGAGGGTTCCACACTGATACCTGCAGTTAAAAAAACACCAGTAGAACTATTGAGGGAAAACAACAGGAAAAATGAGAAAAAAATGAAACTTGTACAAGCCCTTGCTGAGGAGGACAACTGCTACATGAAGGTGGCCTAGCCACGCTTGCCAAGACTGAACCAAACCAGTCTTTGGAAATAAACTATATCACAAATTGAAATGTTGCTTGTTCTTCCAATCTTGCCTGAAGTGAGGGCTGCTGCAGTTCAGCTGTGGATTTGGTGGGTTGTAACACTCATGCCTGCTGCGGGACTGGCAGCCGGTGTGTGATGCAGCCCCCGGGGGACAGCAGGGTTAGCACCTAACGGTTGCACCTACAACTCTACTGGGGGTGAAGCCAGAGCTAAAGTTTCCCTGGCTGTGATGGTTCTCCAAAAGTGAGCAGCAGCTGCATAAAGTAGGAGTTCTTAGTACAGCTCCTGCGGCTGTTGCCCTGGCTCCGTATGTTGCTTGGGAAGCACACAAAGGCAGTGTGGAAGGTGTGGACACACCTGGAAGTGGGACGTAGGTGCAGGTCAGAGGGGAAGTGACTGACTTGCACTGACAGCATCACACGGCTTCCGTAATTTATTTATTGAGAAGGGAGGAGGGAGGTCCTGTGTGCCTAGCCCCAGCATGGGCTATATGTTTCTATACATGCTCAATCAAGACCTGAAATAAAGATTTCTGTCATTTGGTATTTGGTATTACTGAGGATTAGTATCTTATTCTGTAGAAACAAGCAGAGTTATTTCATACTTCTACAGCTGTAAATGGAATCAGACATTTCTAAGCAGTGCTTTCCCAGAAAGTTTATCCAGTTTATGGTCTAAATTGATGGAGCATTTTTTTGGCTTCTTGTTCTTGTTCTGTCAGAAGGGGAAATATGCCTGCAGCTTTAAGGCAGCGTATACTTCTTGTTGGATTATTGTTCCAAAAGTTTTACTCACGACTCTGAACTTTTTTAAGGCCTTATCGTATATTTTTGGTATGGTAAATTCCACCCTACTATGCTGGCAGTGGCACAAAAGAGTTAAGAACCATTAAGTAATTTTAAGTGTATTACAATACATATGTGTATTCTCATTATTTAGAAAACCCTATTTGCATTGGTATTCATAAGGAAGGAAACCATAATGCTGAGCCCAGAAACTGGTTTAACGTGTTTTGTAAGACGTTTGTGCTGCAGATCTCTCTTCAGAGTTCAGGTTGGCCAAGTAGTAGAGGGATCTGTGCATCAATTTTGCAGTGGTACAAGAGGGCATGTAAGCCCTGGAAGGAGACTCACAGTGAAGTGTCTGTATTTAGATGTGATAGTTAATATTTGTATAGCCACTTGTTTGTAGCTCACTTTCACTAAGGTGGTGGTTAGTGAAAGATCTTACTGGTTGTAGCTAAGGTGCTGATCAACATGTTATTTGTTTTTATTGAAAATATAGAGTTGAATTTTATTTTCACTCAGGTGAGGTTTAATTCTATCAGAAATACTCTTTCTTTGCATGAGGGCAGTCACTACCATCAGCACAAATTCTGTAAGGCGGGAGGGCTGTGAGGCAGACAGAGGAAGAGGCTTTCCAGGACCCATCAACCAAACCTGCACTGAAGTGGTGGAACAGGAAGATGCACAGAGGCCATGGTCTGCCTCATGAGTAAGCTGCCTCACTTCCCTAAATCCAAGCAAAGTCAAGTTTAAGCAATATTCCCCAGCTAGTTATTGCAGCTACCCAGAATGGGTTGCTCACTGCTGTAGTGGCACGGGGCTGTTAAGGGAGGCGTGGGGTCACCAGTGGTGCTTTCTTCCCATTCTGCTCCTGCACTCTCCCTGGTGCTCTCTGTGAAATCCTTGCACTTGCCTGGAGCGGCCAAGAGAGCTCTGCTCGGGCCAGAATTGGAAAGCTCTTTGCTGCAGCACTTCCCCGCTGAGCCCCAGGTTCATTCTGCCTTTCCCAGGCTTTCTGTCTTCTACACAGCTGTGCCCTCCCATCTGCTCGTTTCCGTTGGATGGCTTTCTGCGCGTGGGTATTCTTCCCCTTCTCTCCCTTCGGTATTTCTCTGGTGAAATCAAACTGAAACTCTTTGAGAAGGGAGAGCTCTATTCCTCTGCCTTTGCCTAACCCAGAACCGGCGATAAACAGCGGGGCTGGCTGGGCGGCTGGCAAGCTCACTCCATCCTGCCATAGGCACGGTGCCTGCCTGCAGTGGGACCTGGGGTCATGTTCCATCCTCCACTGCTTCCGCTTTTCCCACCTGGAGCTTTTGCCAGGCTATAAAACACAGGTAGGTTTCAAATGACATGCCCAAAGCTGATGATCTGCCCGGAGCGTGTGGGAGTTGTGACTGTGGGCTGGCTCCCGGCGCTGCCCGCGAGGTGAGCTGGCCTGAGCCACACCGCCCGGGGACCTGCCTGCGCTTGCAGAGGCACCGTGCCCTCCCGAGAGAGGAGCATCATTCCTGAGGGCTGGGACTTTCCAAGCATGTCTTTTTTAGCTAGTGGTGGGCTCCTACCAGGACAGAGAATTCCTGATCGTGGTAAGTGTATTTTCAGTGTTTTTCAGTTTGTTTTGTAAGACCGCGGTGCACATGGAGGCTTGTGCCAAGTTTTAGCCTGGTTATAACGCCGGGTATTGCTCACTCACAGTCACCACACCGCCAGTCTCCCTCACCTGGCTGCCTACCAAGTATTACCAACCTGACTTGCTGTGACCGAAATGGGTTCCTGAGAAAAGCAGGTGTATTCCCGGTTCTTGAGAAGCTTGTTCAGATACATTGCTTTTCCTTTGCAGAGAATGCCACAGCCTTGCCTATTTTTCTTTCTCTTCTTTCTGAACGGTGTTAGCTCCTGGGAAATATGCACCTGTACAGAACAGCTTTGGCAAATTCCCATCAAAGACAAGGTTTGTCATTGCCTGTGGAAAATTAACAATAACCGCAGGATGAGACTAGTACGGAGCAGCAGCGAGAGGATGTGGGGTCAAGTTCTTGGGGGTAGGGACAAGTTAATTTAGAGTGAAGGAGGGGTCAGCTGTCTAACTTGTCTCTGCATCTTGCTTTGGGACCCTGCATTGTTCAGGCAGGGTGCAAGGATGTCCAAGTGCTTATCTGTCCATCATGAGCTACCAACTTTATCTAAGAAGACAAGTTATTTTAGTTGTTGCATTCTAGCAGTGATACGCCCAAAGGAACAAAGGGTGAGAGAACCAAATAAGGGGGTTGATACTTTCAAAACCTGCTCCCTGATGTTTACCTCTGACTGGAATTACGTGACAAATCCCCTGAGTGAACAGAAACCGAGAGGACAGTTTGCTTTCTCCTCACCATGTCTTTTCTGTAGAGAACTCCTGAGGGAGCGTGGTTTGTGCAGGTTGTATTCTAGCTCTGACAGAGGTGCGCCCAAAGTGTGTAGTTTTGCATACAGTTGCTTTCACGAAGAATGGGTGCTTTTGACTAATTCTCAGGGGAACTGTGCCCGTGCAATGCACAGGCGTGTGTGTGTACACACACACACACACACACACACAGCGATCATTTCCCTGCCTCTGCAGGTTGCTGAGTACAAGGTCTGCCCCAAGCTCCCACATGGTGATGTAGCATGAGCACACATTACCCAGAATTTTAATTTTTTTGTCACCACGCTGCTGTGGCTAAGGCAGCCGTGCCGTGCCGTCAGCTTTTCGTCAGGTGTTGCAGCCACGGCACGCAGCCCTCAAGGCCGCTCTGACTAAACTGCGGTGACGAGGTGGGAAGCCAAGCAACAGCTCAGCATGACCTCGCTGAGAGCCGGAGCAATGAGCCGGTCTGGTTTTCAGCTGCAGGACTATCGTCTCTCAAAGCAGATTGCTCCAAAGCAAAGGAAAAAGACAGCCGGGTGAGGAAGAGGGCACTTTCCAGGTACCTCACTAGCACGCTTAACCAAAGTGAAAGCTTACTAAATTGCCATACTTCGTTGTGTTTTTCCCAGAGTACCCAATTACAGCCATCAGCAGTACCGCTGGTTTGCTGAGCCCTGACTATTCTCATTCCTTGACAAGCTGAGAAAGCAACGTTGAGAGGAACTTTACATCTCTGCTGTACTCCTGCCAAAGGTGCTTTGCTCTGTCCCTTGTGCTGTCCTGCTTCCATCCTGTCCCTCCTGTGGCTTTCTACAACGTGGACATTGCCACACAGCCGCCTTCTACCCCTCCAGCAAGACTGCAAGCTGAAAGAGAAGAAAAACTGGCTGCAGCCCGAGATGCACCGAGTGGGGAACTGACTGCTGTGGCACATTTAGCTGCGGGGGGGGGAGGTGGGGAGCAACTGTTTTCTTCTTTTTTTTTTCTCTTAGCCAGAATACGTTCTATAAAACTCCGACCATCTGTGCAGGAGGCTTAAAATTCTGTATTCTGAATGCAGAGAGGCAGTTGTTAGAGCAAGAGTTGGTTTGGTGCCAGCCTGTGACCCGCAGCCCGTCTTTGATAGAGGGATGGCTGTGCTATACCTGCCCCGGTCCATGGAGCGTGGCAGGCGTCCTAAGGAGCTCCTCTCCCAGTTCAGTGATGGATCAGCTGCTTCTGCGGTCCTCTCTGCGCTCCATTGTGTAAGAGCAGGGCGTTCACAGCAGTGTGGTGTTTGTCCTCTGCTTGAAAGTTACTGAGTCGGTGACTAACACATCACTGGGACTTTCCTACTTGCTGCTGTTTCCTCAGCTCTTAGACACGGGGGAATTTGCCATAAGCTGAAGAGTGTGAGGTTGGCTGCTTCTCTCCAGCTCAGCCACTGCTGGTTTCACTTGCAGTGAGCCACCCACACAGCAACAAGAATTATAACAGGGTGAGAAAGCACTGGACTGCCTTCTGGGCGTAGAATTTCCACACCGGGCTCAGGGTTGTAACCAGTCCCCAGTTCTTCTCCTGATGCTCTGGAGAACTGCTGTAAGAACCAGGTCTGTACTGGCTGTGGTGGCCCTGAAGTCAGCGCTCCTGGCCCTCGGTGAGGAGCCAGCAGAGGTCTGGAGGAGCTGGCTCTGGCAGGCTCATACTGCGCTGCGTTCACCAACCAGCACACGTGTCTGACAGGCTCTGGGCTCGAAGGTTACGCAGGGCAGCTCGTTGCTGGGTGGTCTGCTCCCCCACCGTCTAGCTGAG